CCTCCAGTGCGTGGTGAGAACAAGAAACGGCAGCACTGGCCAGTGACCCAGTCGCTGGTGACAGACGTATCGCACGAACACGTGTTATTGCCACTCATCCACCATGGCCCACAATAACCACAGGCACATTGAGTCATGGTAGGATACTCATCTGAAGGAAAAAGCAGAAAGGGAAAATGTTTTTCTAATACCACTTGTCAAGTATACCAGTACTTTGAGAATGTTGGATGTTGCAAAAGATGAGTATTTAACCACACATAACAAATAAATAATATACACATTCCAAAAAGTACAAAAATTTTAGGAAAAAGTTTTTTCAAAAACTTTCCATTGGTTGGTTTTTTAATCTGCATCTTCCACAACCCAGATAATTGGAGTGACCTGAACTGACAGCATGCAGATATTATCAATGTTGTAATGCACTGAACAGCTTTTTTATGCTCTACAACAATACTTTTGGCCTATGTATAAAGTTCAAAAGCCCTGCATAGATACAATGTATATATATGCTTTCCATAAGACATTTAAGAGACAAATGTGTCAATGAAGTTTACCAGCAGGACATGTGACTCCAGTATATGGGTCGCCATCTGGTAGATCTTTACACTGCATAAATGTTCTATAGTCTGGGCCTGGAACAAAGCAGAATTTCATATTAAAAGGTCTGTAATATTTTATCTACTAAGTCCACTCGTGGATTAAATTTTGCTACGATGCTTTTTGTTCAAGAAGTCTTTCTTCTTTCATTTCACAGAATATCTACCATCCAGATATGTAGCACCCTCAGTGTCAGAGTCTGGCTTTGTACCATCATCTGCTGAGCAAAAAATCTTATCATTTACAGACTCCAAAACACAGGGTGTCTAGATATGTCCTCTAATGTTACTCAAAACATAAAAAAAATTGTTATCAATATATCTATTAAATAGCATTACTACATTACTACATGACTTCACAGAAAAAATAACTAAATACACATTATTATATTTTGGGTAAAATAACCATAATTGCACTTTACCTGGATCATAGCCAGCAGGTGGCGTGTTTGCACAACACCGCGCCAACGTCTCTGTCTGGGTGCCACACAGGCTACAGTCGCATTCACGGCCATAGTTTTTGATAATAAAATTGCTGCAGCTGCAGTGACAGGCTACAGCATTGGGAGCATCTGAAAAGAAAATACACAAACTCTTTAAGATATCTGAGTTGATACAAATTTTATTCATTATGATCCATACTTCAAAACATTATTAAAATAAATCTCACCAACAGACCCTGACTGATCCAACAATCTAAATGGATATCCCAGGTTAACTTCACAGATTAATCCAATCAGTGGAAAAATGCTGTACATTGTTATTATATAAAGGTATATCATATACAAAACACATTTTTTAAGAAAAGTAATAATTTACCCACAAAAAAAATTGCATGCAGAGGGAGCAACTGATGCTCGTACAGTATTCTTTTAATACTTTGTATAATATTAGACAAGTTTGGTTTGATGGGTCTATTAAATAAATACCATCTCATGCATAAGTGTTGCAGTATTATCTGCAGTGACATTACACGCGTACCTTCTGGGCAAGTAGCAGTGTTACTGCCTGACGCTATCACATTAGTGCACTGCAGTGGGGCTATAACCTCCCGTGCTGAAAGAACAAAGAATTGTTCACATTGAAAACAAGTTACGAGAATATTGTGATTAGTGCTGCAGAAAAAGAGAAAGATAAATTGATTGAAGCTATTTTCACACCCATGCACTTTTTTAAATGTTGCAAACTAGAAGATATGCAGTATTGGGTATTGGTGTGTGAAATTATAAAACAGCCTTCTAACAGAATCAATAACTCGTTTGTCCACCCAATTTTTGTAAATCTTTTGTTCTATAGAATACTGTATAAACATCATGTAAATTAGGAAACTTACATAACAGATTGGCCCATTAAAGAGATACTGAATGTAATCCATTTTTACATCATCTTTACCTTGTTTGCAGACATGGAAGAGATCAGTGCGCTGACAAGAATCATCATACCAGTTGTAGTCTCCAGCTGCTGACATCACCACACACGTTGACTCGCCTGTGAAACAATGATATTGTGAAATGATTTTAAATTGTTCAAGAAGTACATGCCTTATCTCGTAATTTCAATTTACTTCAAATGTTTCATTTTCTGGTGCTTAAAACATTTTTGGGCATGTAGCGTGCAATTTAAACGGTGAGAGGTACTTTTTCTGAAAAAGCAGGCCTTTTTATCCCATCAGTTGACCCAACTTCATATAAATGGCACAGAACCAAGACAAAAATTTTGTCCTTTTTCTCTTAAAAGGGAGGTTCTTAAACCCCATTCCTCCCACCACAATCCAATCCCTCCCCCACCCCACCCCATCCAAATGTACCCTGTATGTCATGCACATACATGCTTGTGAAAGAGTACATTTGTACTGCTGATGGGAACTCATAAAAAATACATGATAAAGACAAAGTAAACTAACCGTGATCATGCAGAGTATTAGAACAGCTGCCTCCACATGTTACACACTTATGCGGCATGCTTGGCCCGCACTGGCATGAGCCTGCTGCACAGCACGCACAGTCGTATCTGCTGTGGTTAAAGTAACACTGACATCCAGTGGGGGAGACGATGTATGAACTATATACAGACGCTGGAAATAAATCAAAAATTAACAGAAAATTTAAACATGAAAAAGCTTTTGCTGCATGTATGTAATATACTAATGAAGTTGCATAAAACTGTATTGACCCTTTCTATAACTGTTATAAGAAAAAATATTTAGTTATAATCTGTATCACTACATCTAGAGTTAGCAAAATATCACAATACAATGTAAGATACACATCAATCCAACTGACAAATACTAATAGCATTTTGGAAAAAAAATTTGAGTAACAAATAAATACAAACCTGGCACGCAGTTGTAGTGAATCTCCAAATATCTTGTGGCGCCGCCACAGGTGTCACTTTCACTGAAGATGTCGCCACTGGCATTGACACTGCACTTCTGTATTCCATTGCAAGTATCAACCACTGTATTGAGGGAGGTGGAGTCCAAACAGTCAGATCTCTATCAAAATAATAATAATAATATTAATAATCAAAATAGTCACATCTCATAGGCAAAAGTGTTACGTACATAACTGTGATAAAATCACTATACATAAACGTTAAGATAATGATAATAGTACTTAATAATAATAGCTAGTCACATCTCATATTTTTCCATCAAAGATAATTAAGTTACATTTACCTGTACTGTACCATTGCAGTGTGTGAGAGAGGTGCGTCCAAAGTTTGCGTAGGAGACCCTGACGACTTGTCCTTGACCACAGTCCAGTTCCGCCATATTGTTCTCACATGTGATGGACATAAGACGGCCCTCACCTGACACAGATAAGAGTAGGAACACAATTAATAATAAATTATCTTGATTATTACGAGTTTCTTTAACTAAGTCTCTCCTTCAAATGTGCAGAAAGTAAACTTTCTGATGACTATATCTTAAGCTAAAAAGGCATCGTGAAACTCGCCCAACCAGTCCAAATATTTTCATGATGTGGCTGTCATCGGAAACCTTTTTTTCATTCATTTTAAATATCTTATAGTCTAGTAAACTATGCCTAAGGTGTTTAAATTACATACATAACATTCACTATATCTCATACATGAGTTTGAATAAATTATACATTTTATTCTTTTGTTTAAGAACCTGTTCTTACCATGAGCAAAGTTGGAGTAGAAAACACTAGATCCATCTATCCAAGAATGGCCATGACCTCCCCACTGCATTCCAATGTAGAAAGATTTATCCTTGTAGAATGTCCTGTAAAACAGGGAAAACATTTCCTTTTACGCCTCCCCCAGCCTGAGTAGTTCATCAATTCTACAAGACTCATTAGCAAAATCAATGATAAATTCAATATCTAAGTTGACTTATACTTGGCCACTTAAGGCAGTTTTTAATCATGCCAAACCCAAGATGAGATTTTTCAATGTTACCAAGATTAATTGTCCATTATTCAAAGTGGTAATCCAAAAGATTTAAGAGTACAATGGCATGACCACCTTGTTTGGTAATCAGTTACAAACACATTTTGTGGAGTTTCAAAAAAAAAGAAAAAAAAACTCACCTGGCTTTCTCCTTGATGAAACTCATCTCTTCTGCAGAGTTAATGCTGGCGAGGTTACCCCCATCTGACTGACACTGGGAGGAGGCGTTTTCAAAACTCGACTGGGTATCAGAGAATTTGTAACATTGTCCACGCCATTCAAACCACCCTGGTTCACAAGCTAAATAAATATGAAATAAATCAGAAGTAAATTGATTTATTTCTTTCCTTCATTTCTTGAAGTACAAGTAGGTTTTTTTCACAAATTTGAAACAATTTGAAACAGATTTATAAGCAAAATACATTAATTATACTAGTAAAGGTTCTTTCACAATTTGACAGTTAAAAAGAAACCAGCTGGACTATTTGATTCACACACCTCCCAATCTTGGCAGTTATGGAAAAAGAACCATCATGATCTTAATTATTAATTGGCAGTGAAACAATACTGTTCTTGCTTATTATTTTTAGCCCAATAATTACTTAGTATCTGTAAAAAGATAAAATAATTTTTTTTTTCAAACATAATGCATTAAAAAAAAATTAAGCTACCATATGACAGGTAGAGCACTGAATTCAAATAAATTTAGATACAAAAAGAACAAATTGTGTACCATTTTCTTGGTCTGTAGTACACTGTCTCTCATAATAGTCTGTGTTGGCATCTTCTACCCACTGGTTAGATGTGATAGTGTATCTGTTGTGGGTCATTAAGTCACAGGCACTGTCAGACACACGGAAATTGAAAGACCTGCAAGTTGAGTATTATCTTCCCATTAACTTGTAATGATGATTGATCTACGCACCCAGTTCTTCAAATCAAGAACTACATCATCAATATCAGAAATTATAGTTGAAGATTTGAAATTATGCTTATTTTGTGCCATGATAGTTAAGACGATCACAAAACCACTGAGTGCGAGGTCAGCATCACTATAACGTCAGCTACACTGCCATCTTTATGTTATCATCATTGGCTTTTTTTTCTACATTTCACATTGTTAATTTGTCCGCACTCCTACCTGTGTATCCAAAAAAATCATCACAACAACCTCAATTAGTACTTGTATGTGCTATTCCTCTTAATATATAATCCCCAACATGGTAATCAATATTCTCCTCCTTCCCTTCTGCACATTTTACCTTATCCCAATACCTGTTACATGTACTCAGTACCCCCTCGATCCCCACCCCCCACCCTATAGCTGTTTACCTTAATTACCATCTCTATACTGACCACCCTAACCAAACCCACCTAACCCTGCTTTCAAGTACAAAAAAAAAATTAGATTTGGCATATCTGCACTTACCTGCAAGTGAAGGTCTTCTCATCCAAACAAGCACGTTTGCAATCTGCCACAGTTGTTGAAGTTACGGATTTGTCAAAGGCATTGAGGTTTATTTTTTGTCCCTCAATGTGTACAAAGCGACATTCTGTAATCAAATCAGAAAACATTATTGTACACAAGAGCAAAGTTTCATTAGCTTTGTTTATACTGATAAATATGTAAACCGTGAATGAAAATTCAAACCGCATGTACCCGGTATCACCTCTAACATTTCTGCAGCTTTCATGCCATTACACTGTAGGATTAAGTAATACCTGACAATTTTGCAATGCATAGCTATTGATAGGAGATATATAATTAAGCTTTAACTTATTCTGTACATATGTATGTACATTAAATCTTTGGTGACTTTTACAGACCTGAAGGAAAATATTGCATTAACGCATCATAATTTTGATTTAGTTTGAATATATATATATATATATATATATATATATATATATAGAGAGAGAGAGAGAGAGAGAGAGAGAGAGAGTGTAAATCTTAAAACATACAATTATAAAGTAATACACAAAATGACGTGCAAGCCCTCACCTTTCATCATGTATTAATTTAACTTAAAACCTTTCATTCATTAGTCACTGACTGATTTTTATGCATGCCTTTTTTCCTTAATTTATTCAGTCAACATTTGTTTGTTATGTCAATAAAAGCCAAAGGGAAACATACACTGTAATTGTATTCTTACCTTCAGGTTTTTCACAAACAACATTCCACAAATCACCATAAACACACCATCGGTCGTTCCACTCCATGGCACGATCCTGTAAGCAACGTACACAGTCTTTTGCACTGGAGTCTGGATCCCTACTGTCCCAAAGACTCCACAACACGCGCGAGCCATCGTCCCAGAAGTTGTACTCATTCACACTGCTATCTTCCTGCTGAAGTCCCAACCACCAATCACGTCCTGTGTAATTCATTTTCTGAAATTAGAACCATGAAAATGCTTAAAATTAAAAAGAAAATATATAATTTTGCTCATAACAGTTAAAATATCAATTGAAATAAGCACTCCAAAATATACGATTAAAGATTCCATCTGTATTTTTTTCCATGGGATGTATAACTTGGTGATAACTGAAACTATTAAAATTTCCTGGAAATTCATCCTTTTCATTCTTTCTTTTTTTTTTTTTTGTCTTGTTGTATAAAGTCTACAATGCTCATAGTGCAACACTTTATGGTAGCCAAAAGGATTACTGCTCATGATGACTGTCTTAGCTACCTGCAGCACATGGTAAAGGAAGTCTTGCTCCAACTGACTGCTGATGCTGGCACGCTTTGCCCCCAGACTATGACAGAAATCTTTGGCCTGGATGCCATCATAACCAATGGAGTTTGCTTCTTCAAAGTAGTAGCAGCTGCCTTGAAATGGGTGCCAACCAGTGGGACAGTGGGTGTCATCTAAAACATGGAACAGAAGTTCAAGTAGGCATTATCTAAAACACAAGAGTGGCACTTCTAAAGCAAATAAATTAAAATTAAGGGGGGTAGGCTCAATTAAATAAATGGCAAAGATCAAGTAAAAAGTAATTATTACATTATTAATCTGCAGTTTTGTTTACATATCTCCACATTTTCTTCCAGATTGAATAAACCTTCAACTTTGGTTGGTGAATTAATTTCGGCAAAAGGACAAGATGGAACACCCCCACCCTCCAAAACATACACAATGCAATATTTGAATATACCTTGAAACCCATTGTATCGAGACAGGATTTCTTCATCAGATATCTTGTAGTTGTAATAAAATAGTTCCTTGAGATATCCTTGAAAGGTGTTGGCAATAAAGATGACATGGTCACCCAAGTCCTCAGTCATGGCCATGGATTGCTGTGAAGCCTCCAAAACTCCATCAACATATATCCTCCACCTATAAAAATTGGATATAAGTTAATGTCACAGATCACACTAGAGGGCAGCCACCCTCTCACACACTATAAGCTAACATTTTTAGCCACCCAAAGCTAATTAGTAATTTAAAATATTTTCTAACATCCTCCCTAACATCTTTTTAAGATCCTCATGGCAGATCTATACTCTGCCAGCATCTTTATTCTCAAAACACCAAAAATAAAAATAAAGCTGGTCCATTTTTGCTTATGAAACATATGATAAATCTGTAACTAAGGGACCATTTCCACAGATATTTGGATGAACTATCTCCCCAGGGAGTCTCACTAAATTGCTGTCAACTTGACCTGCTTAAATGCCTGTCACGTACGTCAGTAATTTAAGCTGTTAGGGGTTAATTATCTTTACCCCCTAGCTGATTCGGTAGGCGTGACAGACATTAAGCCAGTTAGTTGACAACAATTAATTAAGTGAGACTCCCCAGGAAGTTAGTTCGATCCAGATGGATCGATCTAGGCATGGGAATCCAGTCTAACACTTTATTTGTCTTTCACAGTGTACATGTACCCGGTATGTCAATTATAAGATTACCAGTACTTTCTTGACAGTTCTCCTGTATTGTCCGATTAAAGTGGAGGTTCAGAAAACTTAACAAAGGGCAGTTGGATGGAAGAGGATTGACGTACAGAGCTATATACAGGAAGGATGTGCGTGGAAGATTTTACTTCCTGTTGTAATACACAATTAATGATTTTAAAACTGCATTGAACACAACCTTGGTTTTACTTCCTGTAAGTTAATGTACCTTTTTAATTGCACTACGACTTGACACTGTTGGAGCTGTATTGTACACAGCTTTCATTTGCTTCAGAAGGTAGACAGTCTGTTGTTGAGAATTTCACATCATTAATCTGCAGTTTTATTATCATTTGATAATGTTACATTCTTATGTAAGTACATAAAAATAAGGCGTTCTTACGTGGCTGTGGTCTGCATCTCCTGGGTAAACACAATGAAATGCCACTGGTCGTCACTGACAATGCTTGTTGACACTGGATTTCGAAGAACAAAAAAACCAAGGAATTAAAACAGCTGAGTTAATAATTAAACATAGAAGAAGAAGAATATTATAGCCAGTTTGAGTCTTTTTTGTATTTCAACATTTATAAATTATGCTAAAATATCTCAAGTTGAAAATTTTAGACATAGGTTTTCATTGACTCAGCCCTGTTTATTAAAAGATATCACTCTATATAAAAACTGATTTAATGACTCACACTCACCTCCCGCCACATAATTAAAAGGACAAACTGACTAAAATTGTTCCAGTACGTAATTTGTGGCTCAAGTCGTTAATTTGGGCATTCATGCTAACAAATCTAAATGTCTAATCCACTTATAAGACCTATGAAAAGAATTTTTGCTGATGAAAACACAGCATTGGCTCCTTTCTTTGCTGGAGTTTTGAATAAAATAATCTAGCTATTCTTCTTCACTTACCAACATTTCCTACACTATAGGCATCAAACATAGCTTTTCCAGCTGAGTTGATGTATAATACTTTTCCATGTGACACCCATGTGCCTGAAAATTAATGTTTAACTAATATTTAAATCTATTTATATTTCAAATATATCTTTGCACATTAAACATAATTATAAACATGTGGTCAGTCACATTAACACTGGCCCCATAATAAAAGCAAGAAAAATTGAAGCAGTGCCACCTGTAATTAAAATTGTGTAAAAAAAAAAGTTCACTCTTTAAGTTCACTCTTTCTGATTCTAGGACAATTCTCCCTGGACAATTCCCCCTAGGACAAATCAATTCCAAGACAATCCCCTGCCCAGACAGTATCCCCTTTCCCAGGAATTCTTCTGAATTATCTATTTGAGGCATTGACTGGTATATATACTTTTAACACTCTGGTTAAGTAAATGATAATAATAATGAGCTAGAAAACCAGTTTCAAGAGTTGTTGCTTATTTATGTCAGGGGGTAGTGAAATTTGAATGGACTTTGACCCAAGGTAAATCAGTAAGTCCAATTAAATGAAATATTATTTTGGACATTTTAAATAAATATCAATAACAGGAAATGCATTGCTATTGTTCAGGGAATTGACATAATTTTTTGAATAGACAACTATTGATTTATCTTAAACTGAATAGGCAGAATTTTTGGTCTAAAAGATTGGACCACTTTTGGGCTATAGTACTTTTGTGAAACTGGGCCCTGGGGGCTCATATGGCCAGTACAACAGGCTAATATACATGGGCACAGACTATTAGAAAATCTTAATACTTTCTAATTATCTCAATTAAGCAGAAAGAAAGTTTTGAGATAGCAAGATGCTTATATGTGACATGATTTTGAATAAGCAAAAAGCTACCTGAACTCTCTGTTCTTCTCAAAATGCTTCCAGTATGAGTTGTTCGCACCCAAACAGACAAAGAAAAATCAAATTTGCCAAAATTGTTAAATTTCCGTGACCAATTTGGCACAGCAGTCCATGCCTCAGTGGAGTTCTTGTAATACTGTCCATCTCCACCAAAATAGGTTTCTTCAATCCAAATATATTCTCGGGAATCTGAAATAATAATAATGAAAAAAAAAATGTTTTTTCTATTTAGATTTTTTTTTTAATTTAATGAAATTTTCAATCATCATTTACAGACACTCACATGTACAAGGTGCGTGAAATTTCTTTTTTCTCTTTTGCATGCATATAAATTCAGAATCTTAACCTTTTAAATTTCACCAGATTATACAACTGATCCACCAGAAATCACCTTAGTTATATATTCGCTTTGGTAAGAAATGGCGCTGCAAAGGTTTTGTTTGCAATATAACAAAAAAGTGTACTTCAAAAGGAGTGCAGAAAAACCTGTGTGGGAAATCTCATATTATAGATTAGTTGCATAAAATACTCACTAAGGCTATTTCTGTAGACATACTCCAAGTCTGTATTGCCAATGCGGTAATCGTAGTACATTACAGTGTGTAGGTGACCGGTGAATTTTCCTACAAAGTTATCTGCACAGTTGCCAATACGCATCACATGGTTGCCGTCGTCAGTCGCCAATGCCAAAGTGCCCGTTGTGTCCTGAACTCCATCAACTGTTAGTCTGTACCTGTAACAGATTTTCAAGTACCACTTATTTCATGAAAAATTTAGTTTCATTACTGGTTGATGCACATTCAGGTTTTCTGTTTAAAGCAATCCTATGAATTCAAGTTTACCATTGAAAATGGTGCACTTTTCTTATAACAGGTCCTGGACATTTATATCTTAAAACATATATAGGCCAAAGTAGTTTTAATATAACAGGTGGCACTGAACATATTTTGCGAAATCGTAAAAAGTCAGTAAATTTCTTGCACATTAGTTCTAAATCATCACTTTATATTAGTGCAGGATCGAGGCATTTTGAAGATGGCGGAGAGGTCCCAACTCACGAGTTGCTGGATGCAGTGAACTGCCAGGCGGCCATGTGCCATTTCCCGTCATTCACAACCTTGGATCCCCCTGAAAATCATCAAACAATATATATTTCAGTAGTGACATTCGTACGGTACTATATCAGAGTGAGCTGATATCTCAACCCACATTTCAGAGGTCTTTGGAAATTACACCATATATCTACACTGTCTACAATCAAGGATCGAAGCAGATCTACTTCATCTTCCCCCTTGGCTAAAAGAAACATCCGCATCCTTTCATTCAGTAGCCATGTTGTTTACAGAACTTCGTAGGCGGTTTTCATGGAAGATGCACTATACTGCATGCACGCAGCATTTATGTAGAGAATTTCAAAACCTACAGTAACATACCATTTATATACCATCGTGCATACTGTATAATGAGTCATTGAGACACTATATAATCCAGAGTTGGACATGAGTTCAATCTCTCAGAGCCCAATTTTTGTTCTGCAGTTTGTCGTGGCGGGGGGCACAGCAGGTCACGTGCTCGCCCCCCCTCAGGAGACCCCCCACCCTCTCCCATTCCCTCTTGTCCCTAAAGCCCCTATTTCACCCAGACCACGAATCCCACGAATGGCCATGAATTGACAAATTTCAGGATTCGTGGTTAAATCGTAATCAGTTCGTGAAGTTCTTAACAGATTCGTATATAATCGTAGTCAGTTCTTTCAATTCTAGATCAATCGGGAATTCGTGCCAAAAATTTTGAGCTGTTCAAAATTTTGGCCACAAACTCCCGATTCCAAAAAATCGTAGCAAATATCTGGACAATATTCGTGCGATTCCAGCCGAATCCCACGAATATTCGTACCACTATCGCATCTGTATACCCTGAGTGTCAGAGCAACGTAAAAGCTAGCTTGTTAAATATATACCTTGTGATGGAGTCGCTTTTTGTTGATATGGGTTATATGAAATCAAGATCGAGCTGACAATACCGGAATCTAGAACCTAGGGTACATCTGTATCGTAACTGGTTGAATCGTAGAGCGTCTCGAATTAGACCAGAAAACGGGCAAAATCTCACGAATCCTTACGAATCCTGAAATTTGTCAATTCCTGGCGATTCGTGGGATTCGTGGTCTGTGTGAAATAGGGGCATAACGAAAAGGCACTATAACAAGTCACCAGGGCCTAGGCCTACTAGTAGTAGGCCTAGGTCTTCTGTTCCTGCAGTTAGACTGCACCCCTTACATGAAATTCACGGAGTTGTTATCAAAATAAATAAATAAATAAATAAATAAATATTAAAAGGCGATTAAAAGACTGCTAAAACTTACTTATGTATCCAATGCCATGCGAATCCGTCTGTATGTTGCCGTCTCTGATATAGAAACACTTTCCTTTACTAGCCCAGGTTGCTGCAGTATAAAAGTCAATTCATAGGTTGTAGGCCTATGTTTGTAATGTTATATAGTCTGTTAAGAAATGTTAAGTTTAGATTGGCTATATAGGCCTACATATATAAATAAGTAAATAAATAACACAAGTAAACCTACGGTGGAATATTTTTATATTTTTTGTACAAATTGGGAAAATGATATTTGAGTGGTGCATTACTGAGACGAGAGTTAAACCTCACAGCGTTCTCTCATTCTCTCTCTCTCTCTCTCTCTCTTCTCTCTCTCTCTCTCTCTCTCTCTCTCTCTCTCTCTCTGGTGTAGGGGGCCTACTTACTGCCGCTGGCGGTTTTAGCAAAAATGCCTCCATTGCTTGCGTAAGTCTTGAACCAGGCAATCACAGTGTGGTCAGTGCCCCCAAACGTTGCCAAGCTTGCTGAAAGAAAGAAAATACATGGATGGTATACACTGTTATATAATAACTTCAACCCAAATGTAAAGAAAAATTAAAATCTGAGGAACAGGTTTTTGAATCCTCAAGATAAATTGGTATAAGGTCGTTTTGATAATTTTCACCTCCGGGTTCTTAAAATTTAACAAATTGGTCAACGCGAGGCGACTCGCTGTAAAAGTCAGAATGCGAAATTAATTTATTAGGCCTACCTATTTTATAACATCTAATGTTTAAAGTGCATAGGCCTACATGTAGCAGTATTTTTGGTGTTGTCATGTAATTTATTTTTAAGGAAGGACACCAAAAACATTTTCATTTTGCGTGAAAGATTCCCTTTTTAAATTTGAACCCCGCCATATTTCACACTACTTGAATTTTGCTGGGAATCGTTTAAATTCCCATATTCAGTTTTTCTAACGGTCATAATTGTGATCTTTCAGGGCTGATGTATTCACATATGTCAGAAAGACTTTATCATTAAATTACTCTTTTAAGACATTTCTGACCGTTTTACAGAATGTAGAATGTGGTTTAGTAAAATTCGCATAAGCCGGACGCTTCAGGACCTTTTTTTTCAGTCACCCGAAGTTCGCAAATTACAGCTAATGCCAAAGTA